AATGCATTGTTCATTGTGTTTTTATCTGTTTTACTTCATCTTATACCTTAATCAGTGAATCATGAAGACACATTACTTGTCTTTTGCTCATCTGTTAACAAATACTTGATGTTTAAACCTAGTGGAGTAACTTGAATCCTAATAAGATTTTTGGATAGTATCTTTTCCAAAAGGATGAAGAGAAAATACAGTGGTAAATCTTGAAACTTGGTAGTTCTTGAAACATTCTAATAATTAGGGTTTTTCATTCTTACTACAACTTTCTTCTCTTTTAAGAAATTGCTTTCCATGGTAAGTGTCTACTCTCATAATGCTATACATTCCTTAAAGTTTCAGGCTTTCTTCCTTATTTTGGTGTTTTTGAAGTGCATCCTACTTGACAGTATATACAAGATTGTGGATTAGAAGTAATCTTTTCCTCCAGAGTCAATACAATACTATGGCTAACTAATTCTAAGGTAGCTGGTTCTGTTTGTTCATTCCTTTTGCTTTTTGGCAAGATCTTTTCAAACTGAATATTTAAAATTGGGTGTTCTGGCAATATCTGATTTGTTTTCTTACTAATTTTGAATCTGGAAAAGAACATTAGAGAATCTATAATAGGTGTTATAATTTAGCTAAAATTTGTATCCTCTTAGGATACCCTTGAAGTTCTGCTGACCATATTGGAAAATTAATTGTAGAAACTGATAACTCCCAAGAGATCCTTGAAAGTAATACTTTTCGTAATTTTTATTTTCTTTAGGATTAGAAAGTTGAACTTTTTAGTGTCTACTTTAGATATCAGCCACTTGACAAAATTCTTCTTTTCTTACTTTTTGTTTCTTGATCAGTAGACTTCATTCACTTGTAAAATGTTTACTGACTTAAACTCACTGCACGAAGTAGCTCTATCTGGAGATAGGGACTCAAGGTTTCTGTTATGGTTGTTCTTTGATTTTCTTCTTACTGCCAGCTGGGACTTTTCTGGGCACTTGGAGGGGTTTGTGAGAAATTCTTTTTCTTTATAGACGTGCCTTAGAACCAGTAAGAATGAGTGATAAAAGATGAGTAAGAAGAATATGTTATATCATGCTTCCAATTTAGCCTGGAATGTTTTGTTTTATAGGTAATTTATAAATCTGTAAATCAGCAAGTTCAATTTTAGTCAGTTATAATACAAGTGAATAGAAATAGCCTTTATAGAAACATATTGCCTCTTACTTCATTGCTTAAAAATGATTAGGCTTAGCTTTCTCTTTCTTCCGTATTAGAAATGCTTAAAGCTAATAAGCAGTATATGCTCACTAAATAATTTAGTGTTGAAAACAAATACTGCAAAGAGTCTAGTTTGCACATTTTGGGAGAATTTCTCAGAGTGGTATTTATATATAAAAAACTTAGATTTATTGTTTCTGATTGACTATAACTGGATCTTCAGTAAGAATCTTTAAAAATTTAAATATTATTGATAATACTCAAGTGATTTTATTGAGGTGTAGTGGATTAATAGACCTCCTAACATCCATTTGAGTTCCTTTGTGGCATTTCAGCACTGGTGATTTTGTTAGTTTTGTTTTGGAATTTATTCTCTAGTGGTTGAAATACAAGTTCTCCGGTGGAATGCTTATTTTTTTCATCTCTTTAAACATCACATAGAAGAATGCTGTCTATTAAAATAGAATTAAGTAAGGTCCTACTGGTGTCATTCTTAAGAGCCTTTATCAATAGTAGTCTCACAAAGGCTGCTCTTTCTTTTTGAATAATGATCTCATTTTGAAAGTGCCTCTACGTTTTTCTTTATAAATGATACATTATCAAATCCACAGTCTCATAAATAATTAACTCCTGAAGCAAGAGATATACTGGCTCTCCTCAATGATTCAAAATAATTTCTATTTAAGGAAATCTGTGTATTCATTTTTGAGTATGAATATGTTGAATCCACGAGTTTTGGTATATCAGGCAAAATAAAGATGTTATTTCCTGAAAGTCATCTCACTTGGGAGAAGTTTGAGTGGATATACTTCTGCAGCCCTATAACCTATCCTAAGAACATTTATTTTTCTTTTTAATGGGTTTGTATTTTTAAATTATGACTTCCGCGGGGTATGGTAAATAAATCAAGGGTTTAGAGCTCCGACTGTAGGAGAAATTGTAAACTTAGCCTACTGTTAATCTGAGCAAGATATGCTTTGTTAGGAGTTGTTTTTCATTTTCAAAGTGAAGTGAGCCTGTAACTTAAAAAAAAATTTACTAGTTGTATTTCCTGTTCCCAAATGGAATGCTCCCTTTTTGCCTGTATTTTCAATCAGATGTACTATTACTACTGATTAGTATTCAAGAAATGAAGGAAAACTGGGAAATTTGGAAAGTCATATCTTTATAGTTTCTAAATTTACTTTTTAAAACTGTATCTTAAAGTAGTTAGGGTTTACTTAGATCTCATCAATTTGGAAATTTTTAATCTTAATGGTTTATATTAAAATACTAAACATGAAAAAGAATGATTTGTCAAGGAAATTGATTAGAAAAGACTAGAGGGTGATTTTTTTAATGATTAAAAAATACTTTTATAACACCTGTTTGCACAGTATACAGTAGTCCCTCCTTATCTATCTGGGTTCCATTCCAAGACTCCCAGTGGATATCTGAAACTGCGGGTAGTACTGAGCCCTGTATATACTGTCTTTTCCTGTACATAACATACCTATGATAAAGTTTAATTTATAAATTAGATACAGCAAGAGATTAACAATAATGAAATAGAACAATGATGACAATATACGGTAATAAAAGTTATGTGAATGTGGTCTCTCTTTGAAAATATCTTATTGTATGTACTCACCCTTCTACTTGTAATGATGTGAGATGATAAAATGCTTAGCGATGAGATGAAGTGATTGTGACGTAGCATTAGGCTGCTGTTGACCTTCTGACAATGTGTCAGGGGATCATCTGCTTCTGGATCATGGTTGAACAGGGTAACTGGAACCAGGAGAGCAAAACCGTGGGAGGGTCTTGTAGGTACTAAGATGGGGGGTGGGGGCTACTGTAGGTACAATGAATACATAAATAAGCTAGCTCTGATGTATTAATTCTAAGCCTTTCTCATCTGTTAAAAAGCCACCCCTTAAGAACTCCAGCTGTGGCATACTTTGTTAATCTATTTGGGATTATAGTGTTGTTTTTGGATTCTTGAAAATACCTAATTAGAGTACAGTCCTTGAGATATTTAGTATTCAGATCTTTTTCTAATTTGTACTCCTTTCCTCTCATCATCCCTCATATACCCTCTCAATGTGATTATACTGTAAAATACTGTTGTAAGCTATTGCTCAAAAAGTATAGTCTTCAAAACTAAAAGACTTTAGGACTTAAAATCTATTGGAAACTTAACATAAAAAAATAGCTGCCACATAGGCTCGTAAAGTACTTTCGTAGATACTTATTTGATACCTCTTGCTAGATGGCAGTTTCACCCCCTTGACTTCTTTTCAATTTCTTTTTTCCCTTCTTTACATTTTGGAAATCACAGATTTGATGGTTAAATTCATAGGTTTTCTTTTCTTAGTCCAAACTGTTTTCATTTCTCACTTGTACAGAATTGAATATATTCCTAAAGCAGAAGGGTTAGCTTGTCTTTCTTCTTCAGGCTTTAAAAAAAATTGAGTCTAAATGTTGTTAGGTAATGGAATAACGATTCCTTTTCAGCTGTTGGTTTATTTCCAAACTGGCTGGCAGAGCCAGGAGGAAGTGGAGGCCTTAAAACACTAACTTTGGTTGGTTGCTCCCTTCTTAGTGCTGAGACTATAACCTTTGTTGGTTGGTTGATAGAGAACAAGAGAGCACAATCCTCGTTCCACTAACAGGTAAGGAACCCTTCTGATAACCAGTTGGCGTGAGAGAAATTATTTGATAGCGTTTTTTTCTTAATTTATCCCCAAATATAACGTGTCCATGATATAGTATAGTGTGGCTGTATTCTATACAACAGGAATGTTCAGCCCCTTTCTATTTAGAGTGAGATCTGAAATTTAATAGGGATGTATTACTCTGTACCACAAAGTATAATTGATCTGTTTTCCACTATTAAAATTTATTCTGCAGTCCCTATAACTTTAAATACATATCTGCTTATCTTATTCTCCTTTCAGCTTTTCCTTGATCAGATGCTATGTGCTTTGAACTTCCTTCTCTTATTTACCTTATTCCTATAATAAAGCAAACTATTTTCCAGTATCTTTATCATCATCTATTATTTGGGTATGTCTTACTGCTTTAATATCTGCATTGTAACCATTAATGATTTTTGTCCTGGTCCTTCTTGACCCAAAACCAAATGATCATACATTTAAAAAAGATTTTTAGATTGTATTACCTATTATGTCCACTGCTCTGCCCTCCCACTTTTAAATATGAGTGCTTGAAGAATAAATCTTTTTCAGTGACAGTAGTCATAACTTGATAAAATTTAGGCTTAGCTTTGTATTGCTGTAATATGGGACTGTAGTCTGATTAATTCTTTAAATTACTGAACACTTAAAAATGAGAACAAATTCAGCTTCTTAGACGATTCCCAAAGTTTAGTAGTTTTTCTGTTAATATGCTTGATTATTCTGTTTCTCCTTTTTCAATCCATCTTCTTCTCTTTGACAGAAGAACTAACTGGGACTCCTCATTTGATATCTCTGAGGTCGAGTGCCTTTCCCTGTCCCTTTAAGACAACTGTGCTCTTGTTTCTAGTCATAATTTATCATTTTTTGATTCGGTCTTCCACTCGAAGTTGGGTGGTTTGTCACAGAGTATGTTATGGCTTACACCAAGATAGGCCCCTTCTTAATAATTACTGAAGAATTAATCATTTGTGGTGACAGATTTCTAAAATTCAAATTAGAAAGGCACTAAAGAAAGTATCCCCAAAGGTAGCTCCTTTTTATCCTGAGGATAAGTCATTACAAACTTAAATGACCAGAGAATGTAATTTCTTAATAAGAATTTTTTCTTAAATCTATATTCAGCTCTCTATTTCAGTGCTTCTCTCCTACCAGAGGTGCAAGGAGTGATCCTAGAACCACAGATACAGCCAAGACCACGGAGAGCTTTTGACGTCAGGGGTCCACTTTCTCCACTGAACCCTTGGAGGCAGAATATCCAGCTACTGGAGAGAGTGGGAAAGGATAATAAACAAGTGGGTGCTTTCCATTATTTACTTGGGTTTATTTATAGATTGGAGTGTCCTTCCATTGCCCATTTAATTCTATTGGTATACTCCTTGGGTTCATATAAGAACCAAGTGGGGCTGCAATCTGTTTGTTTTTTCTAAGAATGCTAACTAGTGCCGAATTCAAAAAAGAGGCCTACAATTTATTTAATTTTCTCTCCAGATGATTAAAGCAGTGGATGATTTGGGGGCACTAGATTTGGTGACTACCTGTGTAGTCCACAGGAATTTTAAAGAGGAATATTTGCCCATTTTAACCTTGAATGGTATTAGTGGACTTCTAAGTGCTCTTTTATATTCCAGTAATTAAGTTTTTGTATTTCATCTTTGGGCAAGCTGGACATCTGAACTTTCCTAATTTACACAGTCTGATGTCCAGGTGTTACTCTACCGTGTTAGAACTTTTTGGTCTTTTTCCTACCTCAGACTTTAGGACTTCATTAATTAGATCTTTTAGAAGATACGATGATACTGTCAAATTGAGGCTTCATTCTTTAATAAGATAAATGTGAATGATTATAAGTTTCAGGATATATTATCCCTGAAAGCTATGTTAAATATATACTCATAAGTAGTTTTCCAGTCCCTAGGAATAATGTTATTTGTGGCAAAAAGAGCCTTGTCCTAGATGTTTCCCATGGCATTAAGATGGTTTTCTCTTAGTTTCTTTGATGCCAAGGGTAGGATTTGATTCCAGGAAGTTCTTATCATCTACAGTGGGTAGAACGTGAACTTTGGTGTCTTTGGCAAGTTTTCATTTTTCCTTGGTGGATTCCTTCTGTGACTCCAGGTATCTTGATAATGGGAGACCGGTTTATTTGTTCTCTAATTGCCCAGATTTCTTTCAACTGGTAAACATCATACTTCTTCAGCAAAAGGAACTCTTCTAGCAGAGCCTTCATGGATGATCTCTGTCACACATGCAGCACCTGCAGTTTGGAAGGCAGTGGTGAACGGAGCCACGCACTATATCTAGAAGACACAAGGATGAGAGAGCCACCTGATCTTGTCATTTATAAACTTTAAGATTTATTCTGGTGTACTCTTGGTCTGGAAATGGAAAGGCTCAAATAATGAAACAATTTTTTCAGATTGGAGTTTTACATGGCCATGCAAATATTCCTTTCTATTCAGAAGACTGAAATAGAGGCAGTATGAGAGACTCCTTTCTTTTAAAAGCAGCTCTCTGTTTCACTTAAAAGATTTGTGGGATTGAAAATCACCTTAATGAAGCAGGCAACCCCCCCCCCTTTTTTTTAAGTATTATAGGAGATCCCAAAAACTTCTGGAACTGTTTTTTGTTGCCTGACACTGAAAAGAACTAGTAAATAAAAAGGTGAATTTCTTAATTATTCCCAAATTACTTTTAGTATTAGGATACAGTCTTTAACTTCTCTTTTTCTGGTCTTGAGCCTTAATTCTTATTTGTCAAATCAACAGAGATTCCAGTATGGAGTAGGAGAGACATCTTTTGAGATCAAAGTAGCTTGGGCAGTCTTCTAAAATAGTAAATACCTGTTAAATTTGAGGTATTGTTCTGCATTAAAGGCATACTAAAGTTTGAATGATACTGAAATGAGAAAGTATTTTATAGAGCAAAGGCAATATTAGAATAAGCCTCTACATGTGAAGAAGTGTTGCGAAATAGTTATCCAAATGGAAGGAGTTATCAAAATGTTTCTATTTTTCTCTTTGGTATCTATTAACTGGTCAGTCAAAAGCTATTAAAGAAGTTTTTAAAAGTTACCTGATGCTGCCAGTTTGTTTTATTTGGTATACTTTTTAGGAATAGAAATTCTAGAGTTAAGCATCTAAATGTTTTAGGGATCTTGAAGGTCTTAGGAACCACATTTACTAAGTTTATAACCTGGCCTTTAGTCTTTCTTTCCATGAGACCTGTTTTTTTTTTTTTCTCACTAATTATAAATTTTTGTATAGTACTTAAAAGTTTAAAAGATCAATTTGAACTAAAATTTCTGTAGGGAGCTCTGAATTCCCATGAATGATTACAGCTTTTTATGCTTGATTTATTGTTGTTAAATATGAATAAGACCGTCTTTACAAACACATAAATTAAAAAATACCCACCATTTTAGAACTCAGGGGAAATGAAAGTGAAATTTGCTTGGAAATTAAGTTGAACTCTTTGAACCATAGTACCAACCAGTTTATGGCCTGTGCGATTATTAGCCTTTTGTTTCAGCTTTAAAGATGAAAAGTGATTTAATCTCTTAACTTCATGCTTTGATTAAATTTTAGCTCTGTTCCTTAAAGTGTGCAAAAGAAATGTAAGTGCATTTCCATTCACCTCATGCCACTAAAAGCTATTTTAAAGTGAAACTTTTTGTATATTAATGTGAACTGATTTGTTTATTTAAACTTTTATTTTGATACATTTTCCTTTCAGATTTTTTTATATTTCGTGTCACTATGCAATCCTATATTTTTCAGTGTTTATTTTATGATTATTAGTATAAGCTAATTTTTTTCCTAGAATGACTAATTGTGTAATATTTGTATTATGTGATCATTTGAAAACTAATAAATATTTTCTCCATGAAAAAAATGCACTTACTGATAAATGGCTTATTTTTGTTTCAGGAGTAGACAATGAAAACAACAGTATTTTTAAGTGTATTTTAATTTTATGTGTCTTCCTCTAAGTATTTCTGAATATATATCCTATTCTTGTGTAAATCTTTTTTGAAAAAAATTTTCCAAAAACTATTAAATTAAAATGATTCTTCATTGGGTCATCCAGTGCCAAATGTATGAAATAGGTGATCTATTTAGTCTTTTTTTTTTCCGTTTTCCTGATTAGCTTCATCTTTGTTTCCAGAAGTGGGTTTTTGTTTTTTTTTTTTCTTTAGATGCTGTTTTGGTGTGTCCATTTTGCAAACCATTAAAACTCTTGAAATATTGTAAATATCAGGAATAACATGGTCAAATCTTTTAAAGTGAGACTGATCAAAATATAACCCCTTACAAAATAGCATATAAAAGACAAATCCTTGACCCAGAAAAAGAACATCTGGAAATATTGGCTGATTGGAGAACTACCCAATTCACAAGAGCTGTTAACAGGAGAAGAAAGACGTTTTATATTTAATGTTCTGTTTGAACAGATAATCGTAGAAGGAGAAATCTTGAGAGTCTCTTGCTTTTAACCTTATCAAGACAACATGGAAAAGGATAAAACTTGGTTTTTATGATTCTTTATAGTTACATAAACTTTAAAACTGAAGCCACTGGAACAATTTACCTTTTCTATGCAGAGTCTGCTAGAAGCAAGAGGGGTTTCTCTTTGATTTGAAGAAAACATATATAAGAAGTGGACTCCAAAGATTAAAAACATGGTGATGGGGTCCTAGACAAGAAATAAAAGTTGAATTAATGACAACTTGTGGATTAAAATGAAACCGTTTGGCTCCCCAAAGAAATTATACTCTGAAAAAATAAAAAAGGAAATTATGATTTAGAATAGTTACTGTGTTTGGGGGGTAGAAGGAAGCTAAAATCCTTGGCTTAATTACTCTGGTAAGTTTGGAAAAGGAGTTAAGATTCTGTGGATAAAATTTTGTTTTTAGAATTAAAGCCATTAAAAGATTCACAGACATATTTCAATAGAAGGCTGTATTTTTTACTTGAATACAAAAAATTTATAAGCCTTAACTATATATGCAAAAGAGTGGGTTGTGTGAGGGGTTAAATAAAAATTCTGTACCAGAAACTTCAGACATACTGTAAAAATAATGGTGAAATGAGAGTTTTAAATACTTTAATTTTTATCACGTGGACTCTTCCCTACACTGTGTTCAAAATAAAAACATGAGAGAATGTTAAACATGGCTTACCTTTATATCTTTGAGGTATAAGAACATAGGCTTATTGTTTCACCATCATTCATTGGATTAACTATAATAATAAAATTTTGTTTTTGTTCTTTAGTGAGGAGACAAAATAGCTTTTGTTTAAAAAAAGTAAATGTCACATAAGCAGTGTGTCTGACAAAGTACTGACCTTACAGTTTGTTGTTTACGAGCTCAGATCTTATTCTTACTTTACTTTGCTATATTGAAACAATTGAGCAAAATGTCCTAAGCAATTGCTTGCTTTTTATTCGGGTATTTTTATTTGCCATTAAGAAGATTGCCTAAAATGTGAAAGATTTTTGTTTTCAAAAATAAGCACATAGGTGCTCTAAAATTCTTTTCCACTAGTATCCTCTAAGGTAATTAGATTACTGCAGTAAAAATGTTAGGGAACTTCAAAGTATGCTTCGGAGTTTTCAGGAATTATGATCAAAGGGATCTCTACTCAAGAGGTAAGGTATGGCATAGGTAGAAAAATGTTAAATGTGTTCAGTGTAATGTCTGATGGTAAAGTCAACTTACAACAGATATCCTTGGATTTTCAGACAGGTGTAGAATTAGGAAAATAATTTTTCTTAAAAATCTCTCCCAGAAAAAAGGATGAACCACAGATGTGTTTTTGTAGTACTTTGGAGTGCATTTAGATACATACATCCACAGACATTGTACCTTTGGTGTACTTAGCCTCCTATATTTCAGGGCATCTTTTACCTGTGCTCTTAGTGTTTATCATCCATTTTTAATTTAGTATTTCTTAAGCTCTGAGCACTATTAAAATATTATACTTTGTATGGAAAGTTGAGTACATATTCCATGAGATTATTGCCTGGCTTCATTTTGCCTGTTTTACTTACATGATATCTAGAACCTAGAAAACAGTTGTACTGAATAATTTTTATCTTGGTTTGAGAAATTAATTTGAGTTTTAAAAGCATTCATTTATGCTGTAACTTAGGGGAATTTGTTATATAAGGCTTAAAAAATAATGTTGGGTAGTATATAAAATCATTTAGAGAAAAAAGTTATGCTGTTATTCTCTGAGGAATATTAAGTAGGTTCACAGAGTGGAGTGTTAGCATATACTATTTAGTATATCTAGAATCAAAGGAAAATGCGATATTCAATACAAATGATTTAGAAAAATGATTTAGGTTTTTTTTTTCCCCCTAGAAATATTAGTATGGTTTATTCAATAGATGGTAACATAGAAACCACAATAATCTTCCATCCTATCTTTTAATTCTTATTATAAGAACACTAGCTTGTGGACATTTGGTGTTTAATTAAAATAGTTGGCTGTGTCTGTTCTACTTTCACCTTTATGGTGGAGCAAATGATAATGATGATATGTGAACTAGAGCGAGAACTCGCTACTTGATGAGATAGATGATTTCATGTCCAGGATGCCCTCATGGTGAGAAGTGGATCCAGGATTTGCTTCCATGTCATATTTTATTTGAAAATTACCATAGGCATTATCTAGTTGAGCACCCTCATTTTATATACAAAGGAATGAATATCCAGGAATATCTCCTGTATTTCTGATACCACACAGTGGATCCACAATTGTAGGACCCAACTCTCTTGACTGCAAGCTCAGAGATCTGTACTCTGCTGCCTCCTCATGTTGTTCCTAGTTCTGGAGGACATAAAGCAAGTCTGATTTCCTTCAACTCTGACGGCCTCCAGATGTTTTAAGATGGCTGTAATACTGTATTAATTTCAAGCCCGTTCTGTTGTTGCTTTTATTTTTAAATAGATTAAGCACCTCCATCATACTGCCCTTATTCATGCAACATAGTTTTGGAATCCTTAAAGGTTTTTTTAGATCTTCCCTGAACATGCTTCGGTTCATCGTTGTTCTTAATGTGTGACAGCTCAGTACAGGTTTGTTCAGCCTCTTCGGCCCTAGAGTCCTCATGTCACTTTGTTTATCCGTACAGATACAGCAAAGTGTTTGATTTTATGCACAGAATGTTCCATAGTGATCTGCAGAATAATTTGCACCTAAAAATTAGTCTAGTAGTCTTTATGTACAGGCAAATGTGTACAGTTCAGGGGGAAAGAGAAAACATCTAATACCTAAGACCTTGAGAAGTCATAATTTAAGAAGTACGGTCTTCCATTTTTTTGCTTGCTTAGTTCTGACTCAGATTACTATCCATTCCATTTTAAATGACTTGTATAATGTGAAATGTTATTTTTCAGGTTGTCCTTGCTAATTTAAGGGTAACCAGGCCCGTTGGAGCTAAACTGTTGACATGTGACTGATAATGAGAAGAAAATCAACTTGTGTTTAGTAACATAATTAGAAACAAAAAGCTGCTTCAGTGGAAAGGTTTGGGATCTATCCCAAACAGCAGAAGATGGTGAAGTAGCCGCCCTGGAAATCTGAGAATGTGGCCTTAGTTCTAATGAAGGCATAGTCTTATGTTGCCTCTTGAAATATAGTGTGGATACTCTGCTAGAGCAATGTTTTAGCATAACAGCATTTTAAACTACCAATTAAATATTTAGCTTTTTCTCACTTAAAATTTTAAGTTGAGCTCCTGTAAGGCACAAGGTATTGTTTAATGGTTACATGTACCTTGCAGGGTATACGTTTACCTTTGAGAAATACTCGTTTGAAATTGGGTGTATTATCCTACCTGAGTTAGAATTCTGGGGCAAATGAGGGAGAAAAGAACACACCCATGCCTGCTCTGTGCAGCTTTGGCCAGCTGGCCTTAATTTAATCCAACTGACCTGTGAGAAAGGTGATTATTTTTTTTTTTTCGGTTTATGCACAAAGATGCTGAAGCCCAGAGGCTTCAAAATCTGCTGGAGGGCACATAATCAGTAAGCAACAGAGATGGCATTTGAAAGATCTGTCAAAATAGAAATAATTCTGTTGCACCATTGATTGCCAAACATCTTTACCAGAAAGAATGCATATTCTCAGGAACATTTTTTTATAGAACATCAGTGTTTAAAGTAGATAAAAGGGATATTTTACTTAGTATGCATTTTTAAATCGACTCTTTTTTAAAAAGTAATTTTAGTTTTACAGGAAAATTGACAAGAAAGTACAGAGACCTCACACCCCACCAACCATATACCCAGTTTTCCCTCCCATAGTTTTCCTTATTAACCTCTTGCTTCTGTGTGGCACATTTGTTGCAATTAATGAACTAATATTGATAGACATCATTAGGGTTTACTCTTGTATCATACAGTTCTTTGGATTTTGCTAAATATTTTTGTATCAATGTTAATGAGAGATACTGATCTATAATTTTCCTTTCTTGTAATGGCTTTGTCTGATTTTGATACTAGATTTGCCTCAGAATGAATGAGGAATTGTTCCCTTTGTTCCTACTTTCTGAAAGAGATTGCAGAAAGTTGGTATCATTTTGTTAAATATTTGGTAGAATTCATCAGCGAAGCCATCTGGGCTTGGTGTTTTCTCTTTGTGAAAGTTATTAATTATTGATTCAGTTTCTTTAATACAGATAACCTTATTCAGTTTGTTTCTTCTTGAGTAAGTTTTGGCAGATTGTATCTTTTAGGGAATTGGTTCATTTCATCTAAGTTTTCAAATTTGTGGTGAGAGAGTTGTTAATAATACTCCTTAATAGCCTTTTAATGTCCAAGGGACTGGCTGTAATGACCCCTCTTTCATTTGTAATATTAATTGTCCCTTCTTTCCTTTTCATTGTTAGCCTGGCCAGAGGTTTATCAATTTTATTGATAAAATAGCCAGATTTTGGTTTTGTTTTTTCTCTATTTTACAGTTTTCAGTTTCATTGATTTCTGCTCTAATTTTTATTCTATTTGCCTTAGGTTTATATTGGTCTTCTTTCTAAGCATTTTTTGTACTATCCCAGTATTTTGATAAGTTGTATTTTCATCTTGTAGTTTGAAATATCTTAAAATTTCTCTTGAGAATTTTTTTTTTTTTTACACCAATGTGTTATTTGGAAGTAAGTTTTTAAATCTCCAAGTATTTTGGGATGTCCATCTACCTGTAAATACTTGTTATTCGTCACTGACTTTAATTCTGCTGTGGTTTGAGAACATACTTAGTGTTATTTCTATTCTTTTAAATTTTTTATGATGTGTTTTATGGCCCTTAATCATGGTGAGTGTTTTCGTGTGAGCTTAAGAAGGCATATTTTGTTGTTGGATGAAGTATTCTTTAGGTGTCACTTAGGTCCAGTTGATTGGTGCTGTTCAGTTCAACTGTGTCTTTATTGATATTCTGCTTGCTGGATCTGTCAATTACTGATAGGGATAGAACAGTGTTGAAGTCGTCTTTAAGTATAATAGTAGATTGATTAATCAGTTTCTTATTTTAGTTCTGTCAGTTTTTGCCTCATATATTTTGATGTGCTATTGTTAGGCCAGGGTGTATTAATAAGGCTTGTTATGTCTTCACGGAGAATTGATCCTTTCATTACATAATGACTCTCTTTATCCTTGGTAACTTTTTCTTGTTCTGAAGTTTGCACTTCCTGAAATTAAGCTATTCTAGTTTTATTTTGATTAGTGTTATCATGGTGTAATTTCTTTATCCTTTTACTTTTAATCTACATATATCTATATATTTGAAGTGGGTCTTGTTTTTTTATCCACTTAGTAGTCTTTGTCTTTTAATTGATTTATTTCAGCTATTTACATTTAAAGCAATTATTGATAGAGTTGGATTAATGTGTTGTTTGTAACTTTTCATTGCCTTTGTTCTTTTAAAATTTATTTTGCCTTCCCCTTCTTTATTTTTTCTGATCTTGAGTATTGAATATAATTCTATTTTCTCTCTTACCATACTTCTAAAATTTTTTTTAATTATTGCCTCAGAGTTTGCTGTATACATTTATAAATAATCTGTCTTCAAATAATACATACCACTTCAGGGGTAGTGCAGGTACCTTATAATAGAATCTTTCTGCTTTTTCTCTCCCATGCCTTATAACATTGCTGTCCTTTATTTCACTTTTCCATAAGCTATAATCAACCAAAATATTGTTGCTTTCATTTTGAACAAACTGTGTTAATATCAATTTAGAGTTTTAAAAAGAAAAGATTTTGTTTTGCCTTTTGAAACTACTTCTCTGATGCTCTTTCAAAAGGAAATTGTGTAGACCCGTGACCTATACAATCTTTCTTTTCTTTGGAGAACTTATTTTAGCATTTCTTTCAAGGCAGGTCTACTGGTAACAAAGTCCGTCCATTTTTATGTGAGAAAATGTCTTTCTCTTCTTTAATTTTGAAGGATACCTTTGCTGTATACAGAATTCTAGATTGGTAGGTTTTTTTTTCTTTCAACACTTTATTCATTCTGTCTTCTTGTTTGTATGATTTTTGAAGAAATATCTGATGTAATTCTTATGCTTATCCTCTATAGGTCAGGTTTCTTCTCCCCTACTCCTACCTCTGGCTTCTTTCAAGATTTTTCCTTTGTCTTTGATTTTCTACAGTGTGAATGTCATATGCCTAAGTGTGGATATTTTGGATTTATCCTGTGTCATATTCTCTGAGCTTCCTGGATCTGTGCTCTAGGGTCTGTTATAAATTTTGGAAAATTCTCAACCATTATTTTTTCAAGTATTTCTTTAGTTCCTTTCTCTTCTCCTCCTGGTGTTCCCATTGTGCATATGTTACCTCTTTTTAAATTGTCCCATAGTTTTTGGATGTTCCTTTTTTCCCCTCTTTTTTCAGTTTAGAAAGTTTCTCTTGACATGTCTTTTAGCTGTAGTGCATTCTTCATTTCTGACTTTGATTTTGAGTCCTAACATTTCTTTTTGATTCTTTCTTAGAGTTATATTACCCATTCGTTTTTGCATGTTATCCCCTTTTTCCATTAGAGCTTTTAGTGTTTTCGTAGTTACTTGAAATTATTGGTCTAGTAGTTCAAACATATCTGCCATATCTGAATCTGGTTTTGTTGCTTGTTTTGTGTATTCAGATTTTGTGTGTATTTTTTTTTTTAATCTTTTAGGGTACCTTATCATTTTTTGTTAAATGCCAGACATGCTGTATTGGTAAAGGAACTTGGGCAAATAGGTCTGTAGTGAGGTTTTATGTTGATCTGGTTAGGTGTTAGTCTGTTTACTATTTGTTCTACCTGTATGTGTCAGAGGCTGAAATTACCTCTAATGTGCTTTTTTTTGGACCAATCTGTATTCTTGGGATTCCTTAGAGACTTCTTTATAAATAGAATCTTAGTTTTGCCATTCTTTCAGTAATTCCCTGTTGATGTTAGTGGGTAAGGTGTGGGGTTAGGGGAAGTGCTTTGTGGTCCTATCATTAGGTCTCAGTTTTTTAGTGGACTCTGCTGTTGGCTTTCACCTTCACAAGTGCCCCCCTTTCCCCATATGAGACATGAAGGGTAGAAAGGGCCTGATTTGAATACTTCCCTTTCTCCATTTTGTTAGGCTTTGGTAAAATAATATTCCTTGTGGGCAGCCCTTTGTTAAGGAGAATGATATGCTCTGGGTATATTTCAAAATGGTTACTTTTCCTTCTCCTGCTTCCAGAAGTAGAGGAGATTTTTCTCTGTTCTTTACCCTGCAAACCTGATGGGGCTTCTGGAGATAAAATTCATGGAAATGTAAGAGGCCCCATAAGGTTGATTTCCTAGGAGTTTTTAATCTCTCAAGCGTATGTGCTCTCTGTCTAGCAGTTAGTTTCTTTTACGTTTTTCTACCCAGGTGGCTCCAGTGGTGGTTTCTCCTAGTAAGCTGCTGATATTTGTATTTGCCTGGTTCTTCAGTTTTGGAGCTGCAGGTTGGTCCTGTAACCTTGGTTCTCTGATGGATCCAAGAGGAGGTGTTGATTTTCAGTTTAGTTTTTTTCTTGTTGTGTGCTCAGAAGTGACAACTTTTACTTGTTGGACTGGAAACTGGAAGTCACTGAGCATTTTTAAATATTCGAATTTGCCTTCAATTTGGTTTGTGTCCTTACACAAGTAATGGAGATTTCTAAGCCATTATAGTTATTTAATTTGGTTCATTTAATCCTATTGATCATCCACCTACTAAATTGCATACATCTCCTAAACATTGGTGATAATTAAGATGCTTCTGCCCTTGTACACCTCTTTTCAAAGTCTTTTGCTCTTTTTGTTGTCCTCTAGATCCTGGATGTATCTCTTGTATCTTGTCAAGGACTTTGTGGCTTTAGTACTTTCTCTTTTTATGAGAAAATCTCCCTCTCTATTGAATCCTTAATGTATCTGGTTATGTAGTCCTATATTAAGAAAAGGAACTTTGATTCTTTCCCCACCCTCTAACTTCTGCAGTCTCTGTTCACTCTTACTGTCTACTCATAACGTTACAGTTTCTCAAATTTTATTTACTTTTCAATCTATTCCAATCTGGCTTTTGCATCTGATACCACTAGGACTGCTCTTGTCAAAGTCACCCAGGTCCTCGCTGTTGCCAAATCCACTGGACACTTACCTGTGCCTTTTTATTTGATCTTTTAACAGAATTCAGTGTAGTTGAACACTTCTACCTTCTGAAATGCCCTTTTCTTGACTTCCATAACAGCATATGCTTTTGGTTTTCCTCCGTGCCTTTACTTTATAGTTGCTGTTGCTGGTCTTAACTCTTTCATCCAACTATGGAAAGTAGTTCAGTGCTCAGCCCTTGAGCTTTTCCTTTAACCTCTTCTCCCTTTACACTTAGATTATTTATTTATTTATTTAAGTAATCTCTACACCCAACATGGGGCTTGAACTCAACCCCAAGATGAAGAGTTTCATGCTCTTCTGACTGAGCCAGCAAGGCGCCTCTACACTTAGATGATCTTATCCCTTATCATGGCTTAATACTTCTGTTAACTCTGCCCCAGTTTTTATCTCCCTCTGTCCCCAGCCCTTCCTCAAAGCTCCAGTCTTGATATTCACTTGGATAATTAAAAAAAGTAAAATGTTCAATCCTGAACTATTTTTATTTTTCTCTTAGTCTTCCATATCTCAATGGAGCACCACTGTTGATCTCATTATGTGAAAAACCATGGAGCGATCTCTTCCTCATCTCCCATATACAGTATCTTCATTATTCATTAGTTCAATTGTTTGCTTTTGGACTTTTAAAACATTATTTATAGCAGTTTTTTAAATTTATTTTTTATTTTAAGTAAATGCTTTGCTGCACGTGGGGCTCAAACTCACAACCCTGCAATCAAGAGTCACATGCTCTACTGGCGGAGCTAGCCAAGCGCCCCTATTTTTTTTTTTTTTTAAAGATTTTATTTATTTATTTGAGAGAGAGAGTGAGAGAGAGAGCACATGAGAGGGGGGGAGAGTCAGAGGGAGAAGCAGATTCCCTGCCGAGCAGGGAGCCCGATGCGGGACTCGATCCTGGGACTCCAGGATCATGACCTGAGCTGAAGGCAGTCGCCCAACCAACTGAGCCACCCAGGCCCCCTAAGCGCCCCTATTTATAGCAGTTTTAAGTTTATAGAAAAATTGACCAAATGGTACAGAATTTCTATCTTGATTCCCCCTTCCTCTTTTCCGACTGGTTCTTCAGTTTTGGAGCTGGAGGTGCCAACATCTTGGCATTTATTTTGTACATTTGTTGCAGCAGAACCAGTTTTGATACAGTAAGGTCCACAATTTACATTAGGATTCACTTACTGCATCATACCATTCTTTGGGTTTTGCTAAATGCATAATGTCCCATATCCACTCTTAGGGTATCTTACAGAAGAGTTTCACTGTCCTTAAAAATCCTTTTTGCTCCACCCTTTCATCCTTCACTATTCCAATCCCTGGCAATTACTGATCTTTTCCTGTGTTGTTAGTTTTGCCTTCTCCAAAATGTCATGTATTTGGAATCGTACAGTATGTAGTCTTTTACAGTGGCTTCTTTCATGTTGCAATATGCAGTTAATGTTCCTCCTTGTCTTTTTGTGACTCCATAGCATATTTCTTTTTATCACTGTCTAGATCTACCACAGTTTATTCACCTATTGAAGTACATCTTAGTTGCTTCCAATTTTTGGCACTTAGGGATAAAGTGCTGTAAACATTCATGTGCAAAGTTTTTTGTGGACATATATTTTCAGCTCATTTGGAAAAATATCTAGTAGTGTGATTGTTGAATCTTATGGTAAGCCTATGCTTAGCTTTGTGAGAAACCACCAAACTGTCTTCCACAGTGGCTGAACCATTTTGCATTCTCACCAGCAGTAAATGAGAGTTCCTGTTGCTCCACATCCTCACTGGTGTTTTGTGTTGGTGTTTTGGATTGTAGCTACTCTAATAGGTGCGTGGTGGTATTGCTGTTTTAACTTGCAGTTCCCTGGTACTATGACATCCTTTCATAAGCTTCTTGTCCATTTGTGTATCATCTTTGGCAAGGTACCTGTTTAGATCTTTTGCCCATTTAAAAAAATCAGTTTTTGTTATTACTGTGTTCTAAGAATCCTTTATGTATTTTAGATACCAGTCCTTGACCAGGTAAGTGTTTTGCACATATCTTCTCCTAGTCTGTGGCTTGTCTTCAGTCTCTTAACAGTGTCACTTGCAAAGCAGCAGTTTTAAATTTTAATGAAATCTACTTCATCAATTTTTTCTTTGGTGGATCATGCTTTTGGTGCTGTATCTAAAAACTTACTGCCAAATCCATGGTTGCCTAGATCTTCTGTGTTGTCTTGTGGAGGTTTTACAGTTTTGAGTTTTATATTTAGATCCATGATCAGTTTTGAGTTAACTTTTTTGAATAAACATTTTTTTTTTTTTGCATGGGATGTCTGGTTGTTTTAATACCATTTTTTAAAAAAGGCTGTCTTTTCTCCTTTGAATTGCTTTTGCTCCTTTTTCATAGCTCAGACTTACCTCCTAAGTCTTTCTCAAACTTGTCCACATCTTACCATTTTCATCTATTAACCTCCCCTCCAAGCTGCCATCCCCTCTTGCCTGAACAGTAGCACTTACTGGTCTTCTCACTTTATCTCTTGACCCCTGCATTCTTCACAGAATATGACTTACTACAATTTTTTTTTAAGATTTATTTATTTGACACATAGAGAGCACAAGCAGGGGGGAGGGGAGAGGGGGAGGGAGAAGCAGGCTCCCAACAGAGCAAGAAGCCAGATGCGGGGCTCCATCCCAGGACCCTGAGATCATGACATGAGTCAAAGGCAGACGCTTAACTGACTGAGCCACCCAGGTGCCCCTGACTTATTACAATTTTAAGGCATAAATAAGATCATGTCTGTTTTCTGCTTAATGCTACTTGCTTCCTTTTATAAAAACAATAAAATCCAAATTCTTTATCATGGCCTATTAGGCCTTAAATGATCTTGCCCTGACTTTTCCTCAGTTTTACCCTTGCTTCTACTCTCCAGACAACCTTGGGCTTCTTTAGTCTCTGAATTATTTAAATTATTTTTTCCCTACCTTAGGGGATTCATAATCATGGAATGCCTCTTTTCCTGCTTTTAGGTCTGAGCTTAGATGTTTTCAGCAGTGCCTTCTCTAGTTAGTATATTGTAATCATCCAGTTCTAGATCTTGCCTTTCATTCTCTGTTCTGATTTCTTCCTAGTATTTTTGTCAACTTAAAAGCATATATTGTTCATTGCCTGTCTCCCTGCCACCAGAGATCACGGTTGTCTTATTTATATTGTTTTTAGCACCTGGCACAATAGTTGCCTCATAGTAAGCACTGAACATGTATTTTAATGGAGGAGACATGGGCCCGGCCTTTGAAATGCCCAGATCTAGCGAGGGAGATCCACACAGACGCAGATGAATTGCAGCGCCACGGTAGTGCTATCGGAGTTGTAGGCCCAGAAAATAAGAGATGAAAGGTTAAAAAAGAAATCTCTGAAATTCTCACTAGTGTCAACTAGTGATTACAACAGTCAGCTTATGAAGTCTTATTGCCGAGGCTTCTTAGCCATTAATTTATATATTATTTGCTAATGTGGGAGTCAGTATAACTCTCGTCCTAGCAATTCCAGACTTAGGATCTTCAGTGTCGGGAGAACCCATCATGCTGTAGGGACAGTGTCTGTGCAAAGGCGTGGTCTCCAGCCCAACAAGAGGCCCGACAGCATACTGACTCTAGAGTCAGGGCTTGCTTTTGAATACCCAGTGCTGCCGGTTACCTGGGGCAGATCACTTCACTTCCCTGGGCCTTAGTTTCCCCATCTGTGAAGGAGCTAACAAACTTAGAACGTTGTTTTGAGGATAAAATGGGCGAATATATATATAGCACCTTTACTATGTGCCCTGTCCTGCAATAAAGGAAAGTGTTTCCGTTATCCTATAAAGGCCTCATTTAAGTAAAGTTTTATTACTTTAGGATATACTTACACTGAGTAACATGCAGCTCTCTCCACAGGCCCCTCACTTCCTACTTTACAGAGAAAAGACTTCATTCTCCCGATGGCAGACCTAAGTCGTGCCTTTGTAGCACTCCTTTCTTCTCTCCTGTGCACGCCATCATATCACCTCTGCTTTCTTATTTGTCCTAACATTTTATTATCCCTCCTTTCTTTTCATCTTTACCTTCTTCTTTCACCTAATTCCTTCTCTATAAACATGTTAAAGTCTCTCCAATTAAAAAAAAGGTAACTGTCGCTACTGCCTTCTCCCTCATCTCCGTACCCAAACTCAAACACAAACTTACAACATTCTCTCCATTTATTGCTTCCAGCACCGCTCCCTCCACGGCCCACTCTGGTTTTGTTTCTACGTCTTAATAAGGTCATCGAAATAATACTGTTGAGGTTATCAGTGACCTCGTCACCGAATCAGATGGACAGTGCTCTTTCAGCCGCATTCAACACGATTGATGTCGTTCTCTTCACATTTTTGGTTCCGTGGGTCTTTACTTCTGATTTCCTTGTAGCTTTTCGGTGGTTCTTAGTCTCATTTGCAGACTCTTCTCATTCTACCGAGGTTTTATTTCATATGTTGGGATTTCTAAGGTTGAATCCTTGGTCATGATGTCAGTTCATTGTGCATCTGGGTCCATAGTGCAGATTCGTACCTTTGTAATGAGGATTCAAGTTTAATAACATGGGTCCAACTTGGCATCTCTTACGTGCGCTCCAAGAGCGCTTGAAACATATTTTATGAATTTATGATCTCCCCCCCACCCTTAAATCTGGGCTTCCTTTACCATTCCTCATTTTAGTGAATATTACCCCAGTCCATCATCCAGTCTTGTTTATTTTTGTGTCTAAAATATCTCAACAACTTGTTTCTCTGTTTTCACTACCCCGGCTCAGTCCACTATTTCCTGACTTGAGCTATGACAATTCTAATTGGTTTCCTTGTATAGACCCTGGTGTGCTAATCGAATTCAGTCTCCACAATGCAGCCAGAGTGATGTTTCTCAAGACACAAATTTAATGATATTCCTTTAATTAAAACACTCAGTTGGCTTCCTATTGCTCTTAAGATCCACAGGAAGGATTGAGACAAAAATCCTTAATACTACAATTTATGAAACCCCGAAAGACCAAGTCCCTATTTTTCTCTCCATTTGCACCTTTGGCCCAATGGTGTTTTTCTTCTCTCTCATCCTTCATGGTCTCAGCTCAGTGGTCATTTCCTTACTTCAGGAACACCTCCTCTGATGTTCTTCAGTAGGTTAGATCAGCATCCTTTTGCTCTCACAGTGCCATGAATATGCTATCTCATTGCCTATAGTCATGGTTTTACATTTGTGTGTGCCATTTCTCCCTCTGCCTAAAAGGCCCCGAGAGGCCAAGGATCATGTTTACTTTTATCATTTGCCAGTGCTTAGCACAGTAACTGGCTTATATCCATCATTTCAGTGATTCTTACGATGACGATTTTATTTTTCTTTTACTAAGGAATAAAAAAGTAAATAAGCCAGTGCAAAAGAAGCTCGCAATATTGAAAGAATTTTCTATAAAAGCTGAATTAGCTTGAACTCTGTAACATTTTCTCCCAGCCCCCTGCCTTTCTATGATTGTAAAAGAAATGTTATTTAAGAAAAAAATTCTGGAGTCTATTTCTAGATCCTGATACTTTGTGAAAATAATTGACACTCAATAATGGTTCCACTATTCAGGCCTTCCAAAACAGAAACATTAGATTTGTTTCTAACTTTGCAGATAAATATTCAAGTTAGTTTTGATTTGGCTTTTAAGTGTAGGTTTGATGACTTTCTGAACTCTCAAGTGATTCTGACTTGTGATCGTATCTGGGAAGGGATACTTAGTGATAATTTTAGTTTAAGAACACAAGAATTTTTAAATTTAGGGTGAGGTGTAGTGAATCATTGCTTGTTTGCTTGTCTAGCTCTTCATTAATTTATCCTTTCTTTTTTTCTCATGCTTTTGTTTTTTATAGGAAGATTACCCACTGTCAGCATTTCTGTTTTCATTCCTCACTTCAGGACATTCTCTGCACCATTCCTATAGGGGGTTGAAAAGGTCATTTCCATAACAGGTTAAATTTTTGCCTTGACTCAGTTTATTTTTCATTTTAGAGAAGTTTAGCATGAAAAGGCTCAGTTTGCCATTTAACGCTGGATGTTTCTCAAAGGAAAGTTTCAAAAATGTATCAAAAAAACCTTTGTAATTTTAGGGCCTGTTTTGCTAGGTTCTGAATAATAAACACTCCTGGCAGCCTGGCATTTGGTAGTTGGAATAAACTAATCACTTCAGCCTTTTGCAATCACTTAAAATACTCATTAACTGTGAGTCATTGTTTTGAAATAATGTACATTGTAGCTCTTTTTGTTTTTCTTGCCTGAATTGCGTGACATTCCTGAGAACAGCTTTGTGGCACCTCTGAGCTTAGTGTACATTTTTATTCTCAAAATTGGGTGTTCCAAAGTATATTGCTGGACAACAAACTATCCCCATCCAGTCAGATTGGTAGGACATGTCCTTTTGTAGGGCTCAAGAGTCCACTGAGGCATAGCACTTCTTGCTGAGGTACTGATGAGAAGTTTATTATAATAATTTATTTGGAGAAAATGTATATGTTGTTTGAATTAACAGGGAACTAATTATCTCTGGCATCTTAAAAACATATAAACATGTTCCTTTGCTAAATGATAGAACTGCATTTATTTTCCTAATTAAATTTGTAGTAGTCCTTTGAAAGCAGGTAAGAACCTTCATATTTATTGAACAGTTAGAAGTCAGTTACTATTATCACACGGACTAAAATATGTCTGTATAAAAGGGCTTATTAAATACTTCCTAAAATTTGTAAAGTTTTAATTATGAAGACTCAGTAATTTTTTCCCAAGTTAATTTTTATTCAAACGTTTTAAGTATGTAGTCTTTTTTTTTTTCCCCAGGTTGGTGGCATTCTTTATGTTTTCTAACAAGACTTTTCTTGACGGAAAATGTGACTTAATAATCATGAACTCTTACGTTTTTCAGTGTTGTATTTGGAAAGTCATTAAGAACAATCTTGTAGTGGCTATCAGATTTTTAAAAATAATTAGCAGCTTCACTTCCACTTTTCATATAAACCAGAGCCTTGGTATTTTAGCTGCAAAATTCGGTACGTTGAGAACGAAAACCAGTAGTCACCTTCTAGAAGTCAGCTTTATCCCCTGAACTCTTTGTGCTGGTGGTGGATATAGGACAGTCTGAATGAAGACCCACTTAAGGCACATTTTCTCATTAAGTAGTCTAAATTCCAAACCTTTGTTTAAATGTATTAATTCACCTTCCTGCAGTGTAGGTTCTCAATAGGTCAATATGGCCAATATCAATATGGGCAAATTTAGATTGCCTTTTTCACCGAGTTCACTAAAAATGTCAGGTTACCTATAATGGAGAAGAGGTTATTCTAAAAGATTCATCACCTCTTCTACATTCTTGGAAATGTAATTTTGACATGAAGGTTCCACAAGGAAAGAAGATACTTATATGCACATTCTAACCTTATAATTTTTCAGTGAAAAATTGAGTACTATTTATTGGCTATGCTTTGGGGCATTATCTTATTTTCTATTTAATTTTGGCTTCTTGATAGGAAACGGACTAAATTTTTTACATAAATCATTTTTTTTATTGTTCACTTCAATAAATCTTAAGTGTTTTTTAAGTTCACCCCTAATATAAGTACATATTTTGAGTGTGCAGCTATGAGAGGTTTTTTTTTTTTTTAAGATTACTCTCAACATTTCAGTACAAATTACAAAATGATGATGTTCTAAAACATCCATCTTTAAAATTTCTTTGTCATAGGAAGTACCCCAGAAAAGCAGTCAATCTCTCATGAACTGTTAATAACATTCCCTTTACATTGAATGTACAGGTTCAGTGGGTTTGTGTTGAAGGTTCTGCTTTGTCATTATAGAAAAGGTCAGCAAATTTTGAATGTCTTTCTGTAAAAGAAAAGTCCATGGCCCATCTTTTAAATGTAACAACTCCTAAGTTCTTTACAATAGACAACTAGAGAACTGTAGAGGGGAAAATAATTTTTAACTGCTCCCTATCTCATTAAGTATCCTAAGGATTCTTCTATTTTAAACACTTAAAAAAAAAAAAAAGGAATTAACCACATTGATGATATCCTGGAACATTTACTGCATACTTCTTATTTCAACTTCTTTGCCACAGTAGCTTACTGGTGACTGAATGACTGGCTAAGTGATTTTCCCCTAAGTTGCTGTCTCTCTAAATTTATCTGAGAATTCCTTTCCTAGGTAGAGCCCCTGTTCCATTAGAAATTACACAGAATTTATTAAAGAAGAAATTTGCTGTTGAGATTTCATGTTCTCCAGTAAAACTTCTCTTGAATTCTTCACATATACACACAAAAGGTTTATTTTATTTTGGAAATAGAATCTAGCAAGGACCATAGGCAGAGACATGTAGGATATCTGTCTTCTTTTATCTTTTACCCAACCTTTCCTACTATATAATTTGCTCTAATACTTCTCTCTTCATATATTAAGCAATTTTCCCTATAATTCTTTCTACAATATTTACTGGTTAAGGATTGCATTTTAATTTGTCACTATGTTGTTTTTTTTTTTTTTTAAAGTCATTTATCCATTTTTACTGTGGGAGGAATAGCAAAATTCGGTACGTTAAGTCTTTGCCATGTAATATAACTTTATTTGTTAGTACTATGTAGTGGGTATTGTAAAACATTGAAAGAATTGGATTGAGTATTGCATGGCTTTAAACAGGTCTTTAAGAAATACAGATATTTGTCTTTATGTTCTGAATGTTTAAGTTTTAGATGTCTTGTTAATAGTGATGGCTTCATATTCTCATAAATTATCAGCACAATATTTAGGACTGATTGTTGGTTTTGATAGTGGACACAAATCTATATTTCATAATAAATTCTTGGTGGTTTTGCAGGTTTTTTCCTCATAGACAGGATTAGCATGACCAACTGATGTGGTTAATAGGGTGTTCATGCTAGGAAAAAAGTGTTCAACTCTACCATTTTCCTTTTATGTGCTTATGTTTACATTATTAATACCCTAATTCTGCATTCCTTTGCAGGAATATTTCAAAGACTTTTTCCCATTTGGTGTGGGTTATTTTGGTTAAAATAACTCATTTAATCAGATGCCCATAAACTGCCCTAGAATTTAAAACATGGAAAATAACAAGAAAGAGTGGCTACTGAAATTCTTATACCTTTGTGGCATTGCCTCTGAGGAAGCCTTAACTGGAACACACCTTGAACACTGTAGCAGATGGAGACCATCTGACCCAGGGATAGACTAAGTATACAGTATCAGTTTGCATGTTAAATATCAGCAGAGTGCAGCATCTTTCTCAACTTCTCAAGATTAAAGAACTTTTTTGCAATATTTTTTTTTTTCCTGCACCAAATAGATTGTCTTTTACACCCTATTTTGAAATTTACTGATTTAGAGTATGGTTAAAAATGTTTTTTTTTTTCTTTCATAGTCCTTGAAAATTAAAGTAATTTGCATGCTATTTAAAATTCCAGCCTTATGTAACAGTTCACAATTTTACCATCACCTTAATTCCCTCAAATTTTTTATTTCCAAGGGTATCGAACTTTCTGAATTAAACCACCATACAATCTTTGATAAATATTAAGGCAAAGTTTGATTAAAGTAATAACCTACATCCATGAGAGTGTGATAGCTAAATACTATAATTAGGACTGTATAAATAAGGTAAGCAATCTGTTTTTAACTTTGCCCTTTTTTGAGGGATGAGACAATTTGTTTATTAGAAATACTCTTTGTGAATTAACATATAATTTGTTTACCTCTACTTTGAAGCAGCCTGTTAGTTTTCTTCTTGGGACTTTTAACTTCTTTTTTCATTGAAACTTTTGAATATGCAGACATATTCTTGGCATTTATTTAATTTGTAGCCATTTAAAGAAAATAATAGCATTAAGCTGGAAAATACTTTAAAATGCTCAGGTTTGGATAGATAAAGGAATAATGTTCCCACACATTTTAAGTTTGAAAATTTAATGATTACTTTCTGTTATTTGATGTGTCTTAGAAATTGTGAGGACTAATAATTTCTTCTGGGAAATTTTCTAACTTACGCTCGCTTAATTTTTCTCCAACTTTTACTAATATTTTAGAGGAAATAATTTAATTCTTTTTTAAAAATTCTTGTTTTTAACAGTGATGTTACATTGCTGTCCTATATTTTAGATGTAATGGTCATAGATAAGTACACACTGTGTAAGAAAATAAACATCATTTCGTGAAATGGGCTGTAGCACAGGATGAATAAAGAAGTTTTGAAAATTAGCTTCCATTTCAGTTGTTACCTCTGATGATTAAAAGGGATGTGTGTATGTGTGTGTGTATTTTATACATGTACGCACACATAATCTGGATCAAATTGTATTTATATATTATACGTATACATGTATTTGTGTGTACCCACAAAATGTGCACACACATTTGTATATATGTGTATAAACACTTTATTGATTCTTGACCAGAGGGTACGTGGTAGATCAGGCAGCTGTAATTCTAGATTGCTTTTTAAAAATTGGTGGTGTGTTCTAGAGCTAAGGGATCAGGAGGTAGCAGGCGGAGGAGGGGGTGACTAATGACTGGGTAGGTCTGGGGAGGTGACTGCTACCCCTTTCTTCATTTTAGTAGTAAATCAACCTGCTTTTGCTGAAATGTCTTATGTTTGCCTTTGAGAAGCTCCTGTTAACTGTGTTGTTCTTTCCAGAAATAGGAGGGAGAAGGAAGGGGAATTATAGAGACAAAATTTGACTTTTAAAATCCTATCTTTGAGAGGAGAAATTTCAAGTGCGTGGATTTCATCTTTTCTACTTAGTGGATTTTTGATGGGGTGTTTTTAAAGTTCCCCTTTGTACATTTGGCTACATCTACCAAACATCAGTCCAAACATTAGTCAAATAGTATTTCACTTGCAATATTAATTTTTCTCATATAAGTAAGGAAGAATGTTTCATTACTGCCATAGTGCAGTCACTGGGTGTGTTTTGAAGATGGCCTAGGTGTGATTTAATGTGTTGGGATGTCCTGGGTTTTTCTGTCGACTGGCTACCATATAGCTAGTTTCCATTCGCCGTGATCAGGTACCATTTGGAGCCCAAATCCAAGTCTTCAGGAACTTTTATTAAGAGACTAAGGCTATTAAGAGAGGTTTTTTTTTTGTTTTTTTGTTTTTTTGTTTTTTTTTTTAAAGTAGAGTCATCAGAATTAAGAGAGAGGGCACTCATAGTGCAGAGAAAATGGGAAGATGGGGTGCCCCTCATCATTCAGCATCAGTTTCTAGTACCCTCAGATTCCCAAGCACACTAATGATGTTCAACAAAAAAACTTTTTTTAAAAAATATTTTATTTATTTATTAGCGAGCGAGAGAGAGACAGCGAGAGAGGGAACACAAACAAGGGGAGTGGGAGAGGGAGAAGCAGGCTTCCCGCCTAGCAGGGAGCCCAATGTGGGGCTCGATCCCAGGACCCTGGGATCACGACCTGAGCCGAAGGCAGACACTTAACGACTGAGCCACCCAGGCACCCCTCAACAAGAAAGCTTTTAATAATGTGGATACTGATGTTCTGCAGGCAAAGTAACGCATTACTCTAGGGTTAACACAGCTAGCTAAAACAATTTAGAAACCACTTTCTGGAAATGGGATTAAGTTTATATTAAAATCAACTTCACTTTCGATTTCAGCCATTACTCTTCAAAGCAGTATAGAGGGCTACATGAAAAGTGTTTACTCTCAGAAATAGTATACATTGAAGTGTAGGGTTTTATTCATATTGATATCCTTATGTTTCCCCTCTGTGAAGTTATTGCTTATTTGAAGTGAAGAGGTTTTGTTTAAGATTTTTAAGATTTTGTTTTGTTTTTTGGGTTTTTTTTTTCTTTTTTTGGATCAAACCATTTTATTGAGGAACTTCAGAGAAAAGTTGAAGGGGAGGAAGACAATGAGATCAACATTCTCGGCCTGCCTGAAATCTTTCTAGCGTCACAGTTGCCAAAGCTATTTTAAAATTTTTTAATAGATTTATAACTAGTATATATTGCATAGTATTGCTGTTACCTCTGTTCCAAATTCACCCAGTAGTATCTACCTTCCTAACCCAGCTCTGGGCAGCCATGATTAAATTCTTAATTGTTCTTTCAGACATTATATATATTCAAGCAATTCGAATTTATATTCTTATTTTTTCACTTTGTTTTATGCAAAAAGTAGCACACCATACACACTATTTTGTCCCTTCCTTTTTTCATAGAGTAAACAGACTATTTCCTCATTCTTTTTTTTAACAATTGCATTATTCTGCATTATATGGATAGACCATATTTTACTTACCCAGTCTCTAATTAATGTATATTTAAGTTGTTGTTTTTTGCTAATACTGTGATGAGTAACCTTGTGCATATGTCATTTCCTATCTGTGTAAGTTTATTCATAAATTAAATTCCCAAGAGTAGACTTGCAGTGTCAAAGAGTATTTGTAATTTTGAGGAATATTGTCACATTGCCATACATGAGGTTTGTACCAATTTATGCTCCCACTAGCGACAAATGAGAGTACTGTTTCCCTACTGGCTTATCATTAGAGTATGCTATTGAATTTCTGGATTTTTGTCCATCTGCTAGGTGAAAATTGTATCCCAGAGTAGTTTTTATTTGCATATTTCTTATGAGTAACTTTAAGCTTTTCATATTGATTTTTATTTCCATGTACTACCAGTTCATATTTTTTGCCCATTTCTATTGAGTTTTTATTGTTGGCTGTTGTTAGGCTTTTGTGATAAGAGGGAGTGGCCAGTATTTTTCCCAGTTTGATATTTGTTTTTCAATTTTGTGTGTGTGTGTGTGTGTATGTGCGTGCGTATTGCCATGTGGAGGTTTTTTACTTATATGGGATCAAATTCATCAGAGTTTCCTTTTATGACTAAAATTTTGAGTCAGAAAGACCTCTCTACTACTCAAAATGTATAAAGAAGTTATATTTTCTTTAGCTATTGGTTTCATTTTTTTTCTATATGAATCTTCCACCTCTTTGGAGTACATTTTTTGGTTCACTGAGTGGATCCAACTTTACCTTTCTGCAGGTAGCTCCTGTTGTTCTGACAGCATTTAATCAATATATTTTCTCCAGATGATCAGAGCATACTCAGAATGGGTTTAATTAGAATATCCTTTAATGTTTTGAATCTGAGGGTGATAAATGAAAAAATGAGTAATAGAGAAGGTAACATTTTATATTTTTAGTTCCCTTCTGAGTTACCAAACTTTTAATTATCTATAGGTACCCACAAGTTGAAAGGAACTCTTCCCAAACTTTTCTACTATATTTGCTAGAGTTTAGTGTAGGTTATCGTCTGGGTTTATCTATCAAAACTTCATCGTGAAACCATTTCTACCACTTTCTCTAGAATTTAGGGGGGAAAAAAAAGACATTTATGGTTGGTAGCATTTATTTTTTAGTCAATCAAATACTACATAGAATCCCAGATTTTTGGTTGTTGACTGGTTCCTGATTGTTGAAAAATAAAAAGTGTGTGTGTGTACATTTTTGTATGCTGTCATTTAAATGGGTAGGTGTTCTTAGATTGTCATACTGAGCACTATGTATGTCAATTATGTGCTAGATGTTAGAGATCAGGAAATACAACATAGCTCCTGATCCTAGGTACTAGTTGGCAAACTATTTTTAATTGGTGTCTGAGGTTGTTCATGCATACTTATGTAACTAGTTTTCTGAATTCTCCTCCCCAAAAGACTTTAAGTAGTTAACTTGAGAGCAAACTTAGAAGGTGGAAGAGATATGATATTCTACTGTGGTTCATTATAGCACTGACTGGTATTGCTTATGGTGACTTGTAGTTGGATATGTCTCCTCTGTTAGCTATTAGGATTTCCAGTGGTTTATGCAAATTCTGAATAATAATAAAAGAACCACAAGGTTTTATAAGCTGATTTCTATTCTAGTCCACATTATTTCAGGAGTGCTTTCTATTGTTAAATATTTCACTCTATTTTGTTAGGGTACTTTCTTCCTAATCTGTTTATCTTCATATTTTCAAGTATGAAAACCTGTTTCTAATACCAAAAAAAGTCACAGATATTTGTGATTTTTGTATATGGTAACTAAGAAAAGACATGACAAAAACCTATCATTTCTTGCAGTGAGATTGGAGTTGATACTGTCCTGATCACAAAAAGCATCTACATACATTTGAAAAAGTATATGGGTTCATGTTTGAAGATACAGGGCCCAGGCAATCCTTATTTATCAGTCACATATTAGATCCTATACACTAAGTCATTTTAACAAAGCAAAATGGTGTGAGAAAGGCAGTCTCTTCGGGCGCCTGGGTGGCTCAGTTGGTTAAGCGACTGCCTTCGGCTCAGGTCATGATCCTGGAGTCCAGGGATCGAGTCCCACATCGGGCTCCCTGCTCAGCAGGGAGTCTGCTTCTCCCTCTGACCTTACCCCCTCTCGTGTTCTCTCTCTCATTCTCTCTCTCTCTCGCTCTCAAATAAATAAAATCTTTAAAAAAAAAAAAAAAAAGAAAGGCAGTCTCTTCTCTCATGTAGGAGCTGACTTGATAGGGGAGACAGCCATTACAGAACATTTCAGACGTATTAGGAGAGGAGAGGTAGGGGATCATGGTGTGATGGGTCACAGCTAAACCTAACCTGGTCTGGAGGAGCAGGGAAGACCAGCCTGATGAGGTGACTTTTAATCTCTGAAGAGGATCCATGAGACAGAATGGAGGCAAGAAAATCAAGTAGGAGGCAATTTCAGGACGTAGGCAAGAGCTAATGTGGGTCTGAACTAGGGCAGAGGCTTTAGAGATAGGAATGAAGATACTGACTTAAGATAGACTTAGGAATTCCTGTCTCGTTAATTGATGGATGTGGGTGTAGGCAAGGGATAAATTAAGAATAACTTGTTTTTCTAGGTGGAAAGTGATTCTGTTTCACAGAAATGGGAAATACAGGAGGAACAGGTTTTCAGAGGGAAGACTAAATCACTTTTAATTATAGTGAGTTTGAAACAAATATCCAAGTAGAGATGGCCAGTGAGCAGTCACATTTGAGCCTGAAGACTAGGATACAATTCTGAAATTGGAGGATACTGACTGGGAAGCTGTTATCCTCATGCTGATAAACAAGGATATGAGAGAAGAGGTGTGATGATCCAGGAATTGTGTGTAAAGTAAGAGCAGAGAGCTGAAGGAAGAGCTTTTGGGAACCTCAGCATTTAGGGGATGCAAAGACTCTAATTATGTCCTTTGGTTGGGCCGTTTGTCCCTCGAATTGCTATCCAGATTCTTCACCTAACCAAACCCTATCAGTCCTGCAACAGTCAAATTAAAACCTGTCTTCATCGTGAAACCATTTCTACCACTTTATCTAGAATTTAGGGGGGGAAAAAAAGACATTTATGGTTGGTAGCATTTATTTTTTAGTCAATCAAATACTGCATAGAATCCCAGATTTTTGGTTGATTGACTGGTTCCTGATTGTTGAAAAATAAAAAGTGTGTGTGTGTACATTTTTGTATGCTGTCATTTAAATGGGTAGGTGTTCTTAGATTGTCATACTGAGCAACTACGTATGTCAATTAATTATGTGCTAGGTGTTAGAGATCGGGAAATATGACATAGCTCCTGATCCTAGGTACCAGGAACTTAATGTGGAAAACAAGACAGCTGGGTGGATGTTTTACAGAGTTTACAGTTTCCCTTATTCTCTCCTCCCAGGTGTAAAGTTGAACTAATTTGTTGCTACGTTAACCTTATTTCTCCCCCAATCATTAGAGAGACATAAACTCACCTGTAGAAAAGCAGCGAAAAATCCTAGACATAGATTTTTGTTCATCTTTGAAAATATTTGAAGTTATACCTGGTATATGCAACTTCCCATAATTTTTTAACATAACATTTTCCCACATTATCACAGGTTCTTCAGGAATATTTTTACTTGCTATATAAAAACATTATGTGGATGAATCAGAGTTTACTTATTTTCATTGCCAGACATTTCATTTTTTTCATTCTTATAAATAGTGCTTAAATGAACATTCATATTTGTACATTTATCTTTTTATGCGTTTAGGATTGTTTCCTTAGGGTTATTTCACAGATACGAAATTACTGGACAAAAGAGTACAAACATTTTTGAGACTCAATAAATACTGGCAGTTGCTTTTCAGAAGGGCCTTGACTATATTTACATTGACGATATATGAGAGTACTCGTGTCCTTATCTTTTACTAATTTTGCTGATTTTCTGATTTCATGGGTGAAAATAGTATCTTGTTTTAATGTGAATTGTTGGTTATTAATGAAGACAAACATGTTAAAACTAATCGTATTTCTTCTTTTGATGGTCTATCTTCTTTCTTCCCCCCTTTAATTCTAGTAACTAATTTAGTGAACAGTTGCACGTTCTTACTGTATCTTTCATGATTTAATAGACTTAGATCATGTCCTTAGCTTGTATGTTTTTCACGACAAGGAGGCCTAGGTTTTTTAGTCTTAAAAGTATATTTAAACTTTACTACTCCTTGCCTGTACAGTTTTTTTAAAACTGTGGTAAACTACCCATAACATAAAATTTGCCATCTTAACCACTTTTAAGGGTACAGTTCAGTGGTATTGAGTGCATTCACTTTGTTAGACAACCATCACCACCGCCCTACCCTCTTGATCATTTTTTTTTTTTAAAGATTTTATGTATTTATTTGACAGAGAGAGAGCACAAGCAGGGGGAACAGCAGAGGGAGAGGAAGAAGCAGGCTCCCCACTGAGCAGGGAACCCGATGCGGGGCTCGATCCCAGGACGCTGGAATCATGACCTGAGCCGAAGGCAGATGCTTAATGACTGAGCCACCCAGGCGCCCCTATTCTTTTTTTTTTTTTTTAAGATTTTATTTATTTGACAGAGAGAGACACAGCGAGAGAGGGAACACAAGCAGGGGGAGTGGGAGAGGGAGAAGCAGGCTTCCCGCCAAGCAGGGAGCTCGATGCGGGGCTTGATCCCAGAACCCTGGGATCATGACCTGAGCCGAAGGCAGACGCTTAACCATCTGAGCCACCCAGGTGCCCCTTCTTCCTTTAGTTTTTGTCAGTCTTTTTTTTTTTTTTTTTAAAGATTTTATTTTTTATTCATGAGAGACAGAGAGAGAGAGAGAGGCAGAGGGAGAAGCAGGCTCCCAAGGAGCAGGGAGCCCGATGCGGGACTCGATCCCAGGACCCTGGGATCATGACCTGAGCCGAAGGCAGATGCTCAACCATCTGAGCCACCCGGGCGCCCCCCTCTTGATCGTTTTGACCAACACCACCGTTGGCTTCGAAATTCCCCAGTGTTGCCTGTAGCATTCTTAACCGTTAGTGAAACATTATTTTGGTTAATATTTCTGTGGTAATTTTGTGGAGATTTGTTGGTTTGTCTAGGTGTAGAAGCACACTGAGTGCAGTAGCTGAGATTTCAGGTATCTTGGCTTTTGGGTTGTCACTAATAGTTTAGGGTCCCTCATTTAACGGTATTGCTTATTAGCATTCATGTCAGTTTTCCCTAAACTTGATACGTTGTTCTACGAAGACAGATGCTCATCTGCTACTTCATGCTTATTACACAGGGCCTCATGCGATATTTATATGGTTTGTTGTTCCTTTTGACTGAATACTTCACTCAGAAATTTTTACCCACAAGAATGGGGGCTGTGTGTCTGTCCCTACGTGCTGGCAGAGGGCACAGGAAGTACCAAGGCTGTGCAGTGGGAGGAGTGTGACTTATTCAAGGAACAGAAGGGAGGCCAGGGTGGCCGGGCACGGGGAGCCAGGGGGACAGAGGTATGAGACGGGTGCGGCAGAGGTAAGCAGGGGCCAGATACTGTAGGGCCCTATGGTAGTTCAGTTCCTATGGCCCTGTGACTAGAACTCTATTAAAGGATTTTAATTGGACATGGGGTGGAGGGGGCAACGCAGTCGAATATGTTTTTTAAAAGCTCATACGGGGTGGCTGGATGGAGAACTGGATTATAGAGGAAAAAGAGAAGCAGGGTGATGTGTTGGAAAGCTGTTTCTGTTATCCGGATGGCACTGTTATATAGATATTCTTTCTCTCTCTGTTACTAAATCCATATTGTGACCATCTGCAGCACAACTGAAGATAACTGGCCAGGTTTCCTCCATGGAAAAGTGCAACTTCCCAGAACATGAGAGCTTCGGAGTGATGGGTTCATTAATATCATATTGTAACCAAGCTAACTAACCCCAGGCTAAATATAGTTAGCATGTGAGTCTCAAAAACCCACTGTCAACTACCTTTGAACATCTCTGTGAGGTTAAATGAGCTTTAATTATAAAGGACTTAGTGAATTCAGAAAGATACTCGTGTTCCTATTTTATATATGAAGAACAGGAAGTACAGTCATTAATAGTACTGAAATAAAAAGCAAAACATCTGTCAGCTTCTTTTAAAATGCGAGTGCCGTTTTGTCACCATCATGCTTTTAGTTTAATTCCTTCACAAATCTATTATAACTTGAGGGTGTAAATGAAATTTGAGAGTTTTATGCACATTTTTGGCATTCATTATTTTTGTGTCCCAAGTTAAAGGTCGTGTCACTGCTCTGAGAAGTTGCCTCTGATTCCCCAAGCCTGGGAAAAGTCCCCTCTTCTGTGCTCTGATTGTACCTCATAGCTTCCTCTCTGTTCAGCATTTACTGTGCTGAATCCTAAGGCTCTGATGACAGGGGACATCAGAGACATTGGGGACAATGAAGGCAAAGGGGGGGGTGAATTGGGGAGGCAAACTAGGAGGGACTTGAGGCAAGCGTGGAACTTCTGTGAAGTCCTGTGAATCTATTTCACACCACAGTACAGTTTTGTTTTAATATGAAATAGTATTTTAAATTGCCTAACATCGAGGAAAATCGACATTGCGGGGAGCCCTTCTTGTTGTTTACGCTGTGGCTTCCTCTATTGTGGGCATCCTATTACCTTCTCCAGGGTGAGGAGTTCCAATTCTATAGTATTTCGTAGACTTTAAGTTCCTTTCCTTTGTTGGCTTTAGGGGTTAACATCAGTATATACATGATTAGGCTTTGTAAGGTTTTAGAAATAATATATTTATTTTGAGTGTAAAACGTTGAGAAGAATTCAGATCCTTAGCTCTTCAGGGCAACCTATAT